AACTGAATGCTGCTGAGTTGTACTAATCATTGGTTTAGGATGACCGGAAATCATTCAGCTGATTTTGCCGTTAATTTGTAAAATTAATAATTCCTAATTCTTTTAAAAAACACGTATTGATTGAATTTGTTTCATTTGTTCGTAATCATGCTATAAATTGCATGAAAACGGCTTATTTGTATGTGACATGCCTCTAGAATCAATTGTTGTAGATGGCTTCACAGTGTAGTCTCCCAGCGGTTCCCATTTTACCTTGAACAAGGCGAAGCATTCGTATTCGTCTGTCACCTGTGAAATAAATGGATTTCGTTGTGTATAAATAGGCCGTTTCAATACTTTTTTTTATATGTATTTATTTTTAAGAATGGGAATGAAGCTTATTAAAGTTCACTCCTTTAGAGTCTTCTTATGGTGCTAATAATCCTCACTGGCAACTTCAATTTCTTCAACCTTATCTGCATGCTACTTTCGACTAGTTCCTTAGTTGACTCGAGCCATAGTGCCTTTGGTATGTTTTTACTGTTATTACCATGCTTTCGCCAGGTGATATCATCCTGCACTATTTTCGGTTCAATTAGGTACCCATATCTTGAAACCATGGGTAAAAACAGCGTACTCCTTGTGCAAGTGGTTTTTAATCCTCGCTGCATATGGCTATGTGGCGTACGTTTGTGCTAACGCAGTCTCGGTGCAGTATGACCCGGTGGAGTTTCTTCGCTTTTCTCTTAGTAAGTTCAGATTTCTTTACAGACAAATAATACTGCTTATCCCACTGGCATAGGGCCTATAAAATGAGTTGACATTGTGCAATGTTTTGCTAATAATATGAGTTTTACGGTAAACTAACCTTTTATTACCGCAAATGTGTCGTACTGATAAGCTGTGAAATTGGCTCCACGTGACACAGACATTGTCAGTTTCGCTGCCAGTTGCCTCAAAGTATATTAGTCATATATCTTCTCTATTGTCGTTTAAGACGTTTTGAAAGAAAGATTATTTAATCTATTTGAAATGTTCATCACCTTTACAGTTTCACAATGAGTCGTTTTTGTTGATCCTTTAATTCGCTGGCAGAAGTATGAGATGGTACCATATTGTCCGAAGTGAGACAGTCGCTGAAATCAGTGAATTACTGCTCGTGATAGCCTACATAATTGGCTCTCGTAAACCTACCCTATATGGGCAGAAAACAAATCAGCTAATAAAGGTTCCTATCTTCGGTCCTTTCAAAGCTTTGGAAAATTTGTGAAGGATCTCGTCCTCGCTTTATGAGCTTATACTTAAAAGCAAACTACAAGATATATAGACAAAACAGATTGCTGGAGTTTGAATGCTGATTTTGGAACATTTCGACGCTTTCCTTAACAGTGACCATTTAGTTGCTTAAAAGGGCTTAATGTCGATGATGCACGACTGAGATGATGACGATTACGTTCCTGCTGGTAATAGTGGTGATGATGATTGATCTCCATATGAATGGTGACTTCAGCTGCTGTTGATATGCTTATCTCAACTTTGAGGCTGGAAGTCAGAGTGTTTTTGGAAATATTCACAGTACTGCCGTTGCAGTCGCATTTTTTCCTACCTCTTTTATAAATCAAACCAAGTTACTGGCATTGCATAGAGCAGCTTAATGCGCAGTGTTACTCATTTTGTACTTTATGCTGATGGTAAAGGTTAGCCAGGATTCTAGTGTGTGATGTTTCAGCTAAACTATCGTATTAAAAACTAAACGTAGTTGTCGGATGTGGTGTAGTTCAGATTAATCAAGTCTGTTCCCTTTCGGAAATGTGTGACTCTTTTTGCGAGAGAGAGTATATCACCAGTTTTTAAACGTGGCGAGATTAGGTAGTAGTTTAGCTATAAATTGATACACTAAACCGGAGCTTCAATATGTGATGCCTTGTCTGTTTTGCATTCAGGTGATTGCTTTCTACGGTTCATTTTCGCTTATCAGCAAGTGTCCGCCATTTGTAGTTTTGCAAATAAATCTTCAGCCAGTATTAATTTGGCAAAACTTCCGGTCTTTCTGATTTTGTTTTACTATAACTCTGTGGAATACGCTGTTCTCTTGTGAAGTTCTTAATTTTTGGTGAAGTGCTGCTAAACAAGAGATGAGTTCATTAAAATTTTATAAAATTCAGTGATTCAGTCTACGGGAACAGCTTTCATCTAAGTCTGTGCTAGCATTTTAAATTTAATTTTTCGCTTAAAGTTTTGCTAGGACCTGACCTGCAGCAGATGCTAAGACACGACTAAAAGACACCGTGATACTCCCTCAACTGCCTTGTTCGAAGGTCATTCGTATTTCGTGAGGCTTCGAACTTCTAGCGTGGCGATGGATATTTCGGTTATTTTGAACTATTGCCTGTA